TTCCAATGCTGTTCAGCCACTGACTTGCTTCTGCCTTTGGTCCAAGTCTTTCTACCACTGTCACGTGGTTGTGGAAATGTACCGTGGTCCCATTAACTGTTTCAAAGGACGCTGAGAAAGTGAACACAGAAAGAAAGCTGGCATTGTAGACAACTTTCTGGTCCTGTGTCCTGTCTCTAGATAGTTAATATCACCTTACAAATTGCCAGTGTCTGGGGGGACAGATTCACGAGCATCCAGACATAAGCCATACTGCGCGTTGGAATCACCTGGTGTTCACCTCTTCTCTGTTGCTGTGAGAAAAGACTCTGACCAAAAGCAGAAGTCTTGATTTGGCTTGCATGTCCATCATGGAGGGAAGCAGGAATCACAGAGGAGTGTTTGCTGGCTGGCTCACATGGTCATGCTTAGCTAGCTCTCTAATCAGGCCAAGACCACCTTCCAGTGATGACACTGCTCTGAGGGGACTGGGCCCCCCATGACAGTTAAGACAACACCCACCCCATCCTTTCCCCCAGGCCAGTTGGAAGGTTTTCCTTTCATCTCCAGGCTGTACCAAGTTTACAGTTAAAGCTAACTCTCTTAAAATGTTTTGGTTCGTATGTGATACACGCACACACATTATTTGTGCATAATAATGGGGCTCGATAGCATATTTCAATACAAATATACAATAGCACACTGATCAAATCCAGCCTCCATTTACCTACCTTCCCCAAGGCCTTTTGCCCTTTTTTAATTCCTTTAAAGCTTAATTCCTTTTAAGCTTTAATTCCTGCTCTGTCTCTCATTCCTGGCACACCGCAAGGTTGGCAAAGAGAGCCGGCACCATGGTTTTAAAGATCTGCAGTCCTCCCAATGCCCAACAAAATCTGAATCGTGCTGGGTTAAAGCACTTTACTATCCATCCAGACATCCTTAAGACAGCTAGGTCTCCCTGTGCTGGCCAGTCTGAGGTCAACCTGACACAAGCTAGCATCATCTGAGCAGGGAGCCTCAACTGAGAAGATGCCTCCACAAGACCCAGCTGTAAGGCATTTTCTTAATTAGTGACTGATGGGAGGAGACCCAGCCCATGGTGGGTGGGACTATCCCTGGGCTGGTGGTCGTGGGTTCCATAAGAAAGCAGGTTGAGCAAGCCATGGGGAACACGCCAGTAAGCAGTACCTTTCCATGGCCTCTGAATCAGCTCCTGCCTCCATGTTCTTGTCCTGTTTGAATTCTTGACCTGAGTTTCTTCAATGATGACCAGTGATATGGAAGTGTAAGCCAAATAAACCCTTTCCTCCCCTAATTGCTTTTTGGTTATGGCGTTTCATCACAGCAATAGAAACCACAACTAAGACAGTCCCTAAGGGAAGCAGGGCAGGGGTTCGCTGCTGTTTTCATTTCATAAGAAACATCAGAATCCCTACCAATCTAAGGAACATAATCCCGGCCACAGTTATGCCACACTCCAGGGCAATGCCACTTTTTTGAGTCTGAATCTAGTCAAAGTTTAGATTCTAAATATGTTGTGATGAGAAACTGAGTGGGGACTGAGGAGCGCTCGCCTTGGGCACCCGGTTGCTTGGACACAGACCTTAGTGTCTGTGGGAGCAAAAAGAAAGCTACTTCAGCATGGCCTCCCACCCCTCCCATCAATGCTGTTTCTGTCTGGGGACTGTGGCTTTGCAATTCATTTACAGGAAGACAGAATAGAACCTTTGTGCTGGACTTGAAGGAAATTATGAAAGGCCGCGGCTTATGTCAACTATTTATCTCCTGCTATTTGCAACAAACGAGCCCTCTCCATGCATTTTGAGAGCGTCTCGGTCGTTGGTTTTCTCGAGCTTTCCCAGTCCTTGTTGCAGCAGGTATGAGGAAAACCTACCATTGGGTGGCGTGGTCCACCAGCCACTCCGGGTTGTGGCACCGAAGCTCAGTGAGACAGCGTGCAAGGCGCCGCGTCCCACACAGCACAGTGGTGCTAGAACAGGGCCCACTGGGAACCGGGCTCCATGGTTGCTTCAGATTTGTTAATTTAGAAGCAAGGGTGAAAGGAGTTATTCCCAGTCCCCTAAATATTATCATCTCCCAGTGTGTTTCCCCCATCTGGCACTGTGTGTGTGTGGGGGGGGCACAGATTCTAACTGTTCTACAAACACGCGTACTAAGTTGAGTCCTCTCTCACTGAAGGTGGGCAGGCAAGAGCTCGGTGGCCTCTTTAGAGGCTCTCTCTTTGAGGGAACTTGAAATGGATGAGCTTAACGTTTGAGAACCGGGCACTGGTCTTAGAAAACCAAGATGCCTTAAATTTTACTTTAAAATTATCCCAGATATCTCTTTCTAGGTTAGAGGACAATTTGAGCATGATTTGTTCTGTGGCCTCAGAAAACTATATCGATGCTGTATTTTAAAACGCCTTGTTGTGGAATATTGCCGCTGAAACTCACAGGAGACTCCTACAAGACCTGGATCTAAAATGTCTTGACTTTTGTCCTCTTTTTTTTTTCTTTTTAACTTAAAAAAATCTCCAGGATGCTATCATTTGTAGGTGTTTTGAATAAAATGTTGAAATTTACGGATAGCATATTTTATGAAAGCATCAGAACTTAGTTTCTGTTAACGACATATTCAAATCCCATAAACAGTTCCCTGATTGGGGAGGAACAAAAGGTGTGGAGACATGGGGCCTTTCTGTGTCAGAGGTGGGTGACCCATGGGTGAACAAGCTGGCAGACCACAGCTCACTTCTGTTGCACTGACAGAAGTGGCACCAACTACTCATGCTGGGCGCAGGCAGGGTGGCACTCAGCATGGTCCGTGCATCGAGAGCATTGTCATCCTTTGGAGTTATCTGTGGAAGCAAATTCTCAGAGACTCCCAGGAGCTCCACTGGATTGGAGCATCTGGGAGGAAGGCACAGCCACAGGCTCTGTGGGTTATTCTAGGAATTGTTAGATTTGGGAAGCACTGACCCTCGGTACAGAGTTCTCGGGCTTCGGTGCCCAGTAACACTGACATCTCCTGGGAACTCATAAAAATCCTCTGCAGCGTGTTTTTATGGGACTTTGGCAGGTGAGGGCTGAAAGGCTCCATGACCCTTTCAAATGCTTAAGGGCCAGAGAGATGGAAAAGCTGAGTAATACATAATGAAATCTTGGAGCAGAGGAGCGATGACTTAGCCAATAAAGTGTTCACCATGCTAGTGTGAAGGCCCGATTCCATCTCCAGCATCTGCTTGCTTGGACAAGCTCTCTCTCCAGGTGGACGGACCTGCGTAGTTGAGAACCACTGACCATGGAGCACACAGAATATTATTCTGATTTTCGCCCCTCCTTGGGGCCCCTCTAGAAGTCTCCTGGCAGCTGCCTGACCATCTCAGCCACTTCTGACCCAGCTGCAGGCTGGGAAGCACAAGTTAGTGGGCGGGGCCCTGCCCCTGCCCTGCTTGTAGGAACAAGACCTGGACTCTCCAGGACTGCCCACTGCTCAAACTGAAAGCCAGGGCATCTGAAATCAGGACTCCTGAAGAACTGGCCATGACAATCTAAGAAGCTGGAGCAAGGCCACACTAGCAGGCATTGGGACTCACCCAGCTCTCCCCAAAGGGGCAGACCACGGGACTTAGGATCCTCAGGGTGGCTATCGATCACTTGTCAAGCCAACTTTGGGAGACCCTGGCTTTCACATTTTCCCAAAGCCATTCGGCCCTGAGATAGAAAGAAAACTCTAACAATGGGAGAGAACTGGGGCAGAAGAGTCAGGGGATAGGCAGAGGGGGTCGGCTCTTGAGCTGGTAGAAAATACGACATTTAGCAGACACCATGTCCAACCTGCAATATATTTGCACTTGCTTTGAGGATACGAGGAGAGACTGGGGAGGAGGCGACATCTACATCTGTACTTGGAGCCTCCATAGGTCTTTCTTAGTGGAAGGCCGTGCAGGTGTGTTCTGCGGGCGGGGGATACATGACCACAGCAGAGATATGGAGCCCTTTGCAGTACACTCCTTGTTGACAGATCTGTTCCCCAACTCCAGCTTCTCCATGTTCCCCAAGGCCATATGGTAATAACTGTGCACAGTAGTTCCTGTCCCCTAGGGGATGTGTCCCAAGACACCTACGAGTGATTGAAGCAGCGTATAACACTAAACCCCATATCTACTGTCGTCTTCTAGGTGTGAGTGTCCACGATGAGGCTTATAAAGTAGACTCGCTAAAGCTAGCAGTAGTAACAGTAGTAACTAGTAATAAAATAGGAAATTATAACATCATCTTTTTTAAAAAAATCAGTGAATTATTTATTCCTGGAATTTTCTGCTTAATAGTTCCAGGTAACTGGCAATCACGGAGAGTAACACAAGGGCTGGGAACTTTTCTCTTGACTAATACCAATTACCATGTTTGTTTGCTTCTCTGAACGCAGGTTAGAGATGGCAAGATGAACTTAATTCTTCTGCCTCCCAAACTCCCACTGAAATGACCTAAGGCTATAAAACCAGGGAAAGGATGCACCACTGGGAAAAATGGGGGCAGCGGCAGATGCAGGGGAGGTGCTTGTCATTTCTGGTACACATAGTGCAACCACGATGTGAGAAAGAAAGCCTGCTGTACCCATAACTCAGTACCGGCTAAGGACCTAGCAAATGGGTGGGTAGAAATCTCAGCAAAGCTCCCACCAGGGTCTCAAGCATCAGAACTTCTGGGCAGCAGTTGCACGGAGGAACATGTTACCATTGAGTTCAGACCCACCATTAGTGAGCTGCACCAAATTAGCAACCTCAGTTCCATCCTCTGTTAAAATAGGGAGGGTGGCTACATTATAAAGATGCAGTAAGGCCAGGCAGTGGTGGCGCAGGCCTTTAATCCCAGCACTCGGGAGGCAGAGGCAGGCGGATCTCTGTGAGTTCGAGGTCAGCCTGGTCTAGTGAGCGAGTTCCAGGACAGACTCCAAAGCTACACAGAGAAACCCTGTCCCGAAAACAACATCAACCACAACAAAAAGATGCAATAAGGATGAAATGCAGTACAGTACACATCCAGAGACGCCCCTGGAAGGTAACAGCTGCCCATTAGTGATTACTGATTACCAGGAACTGCTGAGGGTTTGGCTCGAGTTTTTGCGAAGCTGCAAGGGAAGCCTTTGGAAAGGGGTCTCCTTCAGCTAAGTCAATGCTGCTAATGAGGCAGCTAGAGATCAGAAAGGGCGAGCACTTGCTCAAGGTTCATCCTGTTTCAGGTGGAGCAGGCCCATGCTCCGAGTCCTAAGCCCATTTTGCTCTTGTGTCTGCTCCTTTTCTTTCTTGTCTTGTCTTGTTTTGGCAGTTTCTCATGTAGCTCAGGTTGACCTCAAACTCCCGATCTTCCTGTCTCTACTGAGTTCAGGGGTTATAAGCCCAAATGGCCACATCCAGCTAAAATTTCTCTTTTTGCAGTACTGGGTCTCAAACATGGGCCTCATGCATGCAAGGCGAGCATTCTACCAGCAAACTCTAGTCTCCTAAGGTATATTCTTCCAGGCCGTTAACACATCCTTGATGGTACGTATCTGGGTAGTATAAATGCTTGAACTCAACAGTGCATCCAAAGACTCAATTAATGGTGCATCCCAAGCATTGCCTGTTACATAGTACAGTCTGATGACCACTCACAGAGCATTGATTGTGTTAGTGTTTTGTTTTCTAGAGGTAATTTCAAAGCATGAAGAACTACTTTGGTTTTACACACATACTGCATCTTGCTTTTTCTACTGAAAGAAAAAATAGAGATAGTCTATGTAGCTCAGTGTATCCTTACACCAATGATCCACCTGCCTCAGCCTCCTGAGTGTTGATTTCACTAGTGTGCACCTCCATGTCCAGCACATAACATTTTGCAATAAGGAGCTTAGACACACCCAGAGTTTGGTAACTGTGGGGGGACCCTGGAATGAACTTCCTGTGAATACTCAGAGGTCACTAGATTACAGTCCTTCAACAACTTGCTTTATCTTTTTGTTTTGTTTTGTTTTGTTTTTGTTTCTGCTTTTCAAGACAGAGTTTTGGAGCCTGTTCTGTAACTCACTCTCGTAGACCAGGCTGGTCTTGGACTCACAGAGATCCGCCCGTCTCTGCCTCCCCAGTGCTGGGATTAAAGGCATGCGCCACCACTGCCCAACTCTTCAACAACTTCCTAAGCAGACATTTAGTTGAGGACACTAGAATTTGGGACTTAAAGAAACAATTGGATAAAAACATTTGAAAGCAAGCCAGCTTAATCCAAGTCTCTCTCTTTAGTAGTATTGTGCTATTCTTTAATCGATATAGTCAGTAGAATATCATTCTGTTTATTACCATTAGGTTGGGTTTTACTCCCATTCTATAAAGGGGGGAGGCTTCAAACTGTGATCCCAGACCCCTGCAGTTCTTTGATGCACTGCTGAGTGTGCAAGTGCTTCTAAACCACTGCGTTTCTTTTCTAGTGGAGCTCACAGAAAACCTCGGACTCCCCGTGACACTGCTTGAAAATCACAACCCCTGGCCAGCCTATGTCACCTACACCTCTCCAGCAGTAAGGCGCCTCATTGACAAAAGCAGAGCCCGGGACCTGGAGTGCATTCATTCTTACGAGGAGAGCTGCAAACCGACAAGGCTGAGCAAACCTAGTTTCATGCACCTGAGAAGGAAGAAGTCATCCAAGTCCTCAGAGCTTGTGCTCAAGGATGCCCTGTCAGAATCCAGGCAGTCCACGTGGGATCCTTGCTCTGCCACAAACGTGAGTTCCACACTCCTTCCAGAACCTACACAATCACAGATGGAAGCCAGAGAGGGTCCCACGTTCAACTACAACAAGATCATCTTCTCCAGGAGGCCTGCGATGAGGAAGCTCCCCTACGGCTTACTACAGGCCAGCAAGGAGCTGCATGCCAACACTTAGCAAAGAGCCCTGCAGCCATCCCCTGAGAATGTACAACGGTTACACTCCATTCGCTACAATATACCATGTTCTTGAAACTTGCCGTTGTTTCTGTTTAGACATAGGTTGGCAGACAGGGACCATATCAGAAAGCGGGCTGTGGGTAGACAACCCCAACACTCTTGGGGTGGGGTAATTGGAGCCGCTGAAGGCCCAACTGCATGGGTGTTTGTCCATGTCCTGAGAGCAAACAGAAACCACAGTAGTGGCTTTACCAGTCTTAATTTAATAGGCTCTTTAACTAGGTGACTAAAGAAGACAAAGTTAAGAATCCAGTTATTGACGGGGTAGCCCCCAAGGGAACCGGTGCGGTCCCTGGCGTTATTGGAAGTTAGATGCCTGCAGGAGGGAGATGTGTGGTGACGCTCAGACATTCCCCTGTGGGGGAGTAGGTTTTGCCCAGCTTGTATTGCTGACTCAGGGCTGAGGAGAGCCCCTGCAGGGTCCTATCCCTCACCCCTGAGAAGGGGTCCCTGTCTTCCTTCACTGAAAGACGTCAGTGAGGCTGTCTCAGTGAGTGTTAAAGAACTCAAAATTTGAATTCAAATGCTGGAAGGCGTTTCCACTGCCTGGCTGACAGAAAGGGTTCCAAGGGAAGCTGCCAGGGGTGGGAAGGAGGTGGTAGGAACCACCAGGAAGCAGCCTGTGAGTTCCTTCTTCTCCCTGTAACCGTGCGAACTCCTGCTAGCGCCCTCTGTAGGCAGGGCATGGTAGGACATAAACAGGAAAGCCACCGGCTGATTCCCAGTCTTGCCATAGCCCAGGGTGTGTGTGTGTGTGTGTGTGTGTGTGTGTGTGTGTGTGTG